GAGTGAAACATGATGTACGAAATGGCAAAAAACGATAAATTTAGGTGGTTTCAAAATAAAATCAGAATAACATAAGGATGGTTCGATTTTCTACTTATATAAATTGTACAACTGCTGCTGTAAGTTGTCGATTAGCTTTTCAATGCAGTGATTATTGCAGAATCAAGTAAAGTAACTTGGGGGATCACCAGAAACTGGGTGGCTTGGAGTCAAACAACCTAACGGATCACCTATGTTTAAACGGGTTTTCTTGATTAAATTAACCCTGATACTGTTATCCCTTTTCAGTGTCATCTACGCACTGAGACACTAAGCAACATGTTAGATCTCTTCAGGGTTACCTCGGGGCGATTGATTGGAGATAGGGGCTTCATGACCTGCAGCTGTATGGTGCTAAGTCAACTTGGAGAGTATTTAAAATCGTCTTCTTATTTCAGACAGATTTGGCACCTTAATGGCGCCTTGATTATACAATTGTCCTAATGACGGTGTTGCATAATCTTTGATTTGGCGGAAACTAATGCATGATCCGCACCACGACAAATAGATCAAGTGTCTGTCCGTGCCGTCTGGCGCCAGCGGACTTTGCTTTGGGAAGAGCATAATCATCATTAGAGGGGAGATAATTTGTGTACCTCTCCGGCACGTTAGTTATTTCCTGTAAGACGAAGTCAGCGCTGGTAATTGACCAAAGCGCCCACACACGGTATGTTATCTTAATGACACCACAAAGCCGAACTCTCGTTGTGTTTCCCACACAGAGTTGGTTTAAAGAGCTTTTTTGTGGTTACTTCCACACGAGAAAGGGACAAAGCTTTGTTTTCAATAAACACAAATGTTTGTTAATTGCCACCTATTCGACTTAGGATAGATAATGCATATTTTTCTCTGGCCGAGGAAAACGTGGAATAACCTAGCAACAAAAATCTGAGGTAAAGATATCCCCATGGACTTTGAGTCATGTCTTTGCGTGATGAGCACAGGCGGCAGTGCTTTGAGACACTTCACACCAAAACTTATCTGTTAATTATCATCTTAACTGAGCCGTTTTTGGATCCACCTGCATTCCAGTATTTTCGTACCATACCACACAGTTTTTCAAGAACATGTTTTAAGTTATCCGTAAAATTACACACTGAAGCTCTATCCTTGCGCCAAAGCTATGCTGTATCACCCCGACAAGTAGACTATAGACTGTTCCTTTTATACTTCATTAACTCATAAGGGTAACAACGAAAACCCCAGAGGCAAAGGTAGATGAGAGATATGGGACATAAAAAAGGGTTCAGGCTTGGTTCAGGATATACCAAGTATGGGGTTTGCGTCGTATACTATGGAAAACACTTGTTAAAGAAAAGAAAAAGAGCACTAGTAAAGCCTTTATAGTTAATGACAACCGAACTGGAACTTTTGACTTAAAACTGCGTGTAAATCAGGAATTGCATAGTCATCAACGATTTCCGGCTGTTAAAAATCATGGAAATGTTGCAAAAATATATATCTCTAGACAATATCTCTAACAACATTGCTAATGAAGTTGTAAACATTTACCGAGGTGATCGGTTAGGTATTGCTTGAGTGTCTTAAAGCAAAGTTTTGATATCTACAAAGATAGGCCAACACCCGCCTTAAAAAAATAGGATATTTCCGTTTTACCCACAAGATGAGACCATAAAAATAAACATTTTCCGGCATTCTTATTAACACGATCCAGCCAGCCCGAACCTTAAAAGATCTCTGAAAGTGATGGCGACATTTCATACTGGTATTAACATAGGAAGTGGGTAGTTTAGCTTAGAAACACCGTGAAGAGATAGATTTTGAAATGCCCAATGCTTGAGGAAGCTAAACTAGCAGATCAATTGGCACGAGCGTGTCTTTGGGTCCAACCTCAGTAATGCTTTTTTGGAACTGTCCGCATTTTCAGGGCATCAACTTACGAAAAGCACTCCTTGTCCTCTGCAGACCTCGGCGTAGACCTCGTGTTTTACATTGACCCCGATAACCCGACCTTCCGCTCCCCTGTGTACTTATCCGTCATACCCATCAAAGGAAAAAAAAAATTAAGCGTTTGTGTTGATGAGTTTCTGATGTGAAAGCCTCTAGGATTCGAGCGGAATGCACCATTATGGAAGGACACATTTAATCTAGATCTTTTTCCATCCATGCGTAAAAATGAGTGAACTGTGCATCAGGCAACAGAGGGGTTCTATGTTTTGGGTTCTAGCGAGTCAAGCATGGTCTTAGTCCAGGAGGGAGGTTTTTAGCCATCCATTCTTCCGAAAAAGGGAAACAAAAAAAGCATAAAGATCGACGAATGTTCTGCCGTTGTTCAGAAGTCAAGACGCATTTTACTTGCAAAGTTTATTTGCCAAAAGAGCCGATTTGTCACTTGCATGACTATCCGTCTATCTCTTGCCGATAATGTTCACGACAACGGATGTAATTAATCGGCGAGATATCACTTGCCAAGTGACCGTCGCTTAACATCGAAAGACTTGTTTCCACACATCGGCTTTCTTTGGCAAATTCCTCTTTTCCTTGGTCAAACTTGAAGCATATTTGAAAAAGAATAAGCGTTTGTCATGATGAGAAAAGATGATTGATTTCATGATGCATATGGAATAACATAAGAGACTAAGGTTAATCTTTCAAGGCTCTTAATTCGAATCACGAATATTTCCGTTTCGTGCTAAGTCTTACATCTAATTCCTGCTCGAAATAGTTTTAACTGTGAAGTTCAATTAATCCATTAACTGAGCATGAGCGAGACACGCCGAAAATACCATCAACAAACCATGAATCTCATCCATTCTCTCGCGAGTAACAGTATTACCTTGCAATTCAGAATTGCGCTTTCTGTTACTAATTGTCATATCTTTGCATCTCTAGTATTCTCTTACCCTCCACCTCCCCCCCACCCTTTTCTAACTAAGTGTCCTCGGAAACGCCTAAGCACATGAACAATGAAGAGTTAAGTGAATTTTATCCGCTTCAATAATCTTTAGTCTCGAGGAAAAGTGAAAAAATAGCCTTAAATTTAGCGCCAGTCTCGAATGCACACTAATTAACAAATTAACAGTAATTTCAAAGGGTGGGGGAGCAAGCTTACAGATTTAGCTAAGCATTAGTCAGTCAGAGGAATCGGTTGTACCGTTTAACTCAACTGCGAGAAGCAGAATTTTTCAGAGCAGCAACAATTATAAAGTAAACGCAAATATTGAAACTATAAAATTCAAATTACAAACAATCATCGCGGTTTCGAAACAGTACAATGCTGTTTCAAGCCCTGTTCTTGGTGAAGGGAAATTTCGATGACTTCACTGCATCAAAAAGGTTGAGAATATGTATTACGCTTGATAAGTCCTAACTCTCTTCCCATATTTACAGGAAAATGAACGTGCATTTAGGGAATCTCGGTAAAAAAAATGTAGAGCGTTAGACGAAATAAATAGAGGATATTCGTATCCCTGCCACGCGGGGATACGAATTTTCTCTTTGATTGTTTGACTCGATAGCTCACGAGTGAGCGCAGCTAACGAGTGAGATATCGAGTTGGACACGAGAAGATAAATTTCATATCTACAAGCAACCACGTATTATTTTGTTTGACACATAGACACAATAGCCCTTTACTGACAAGAAAAGTCAACTTGATTAATGAATGAAAATCAAAGGATCGACAATCCCCGAACAAAAATTGTAAAGCGCGTTGGAGCTAAGGCTCAAGATGAGAAAATACGTTGAAACACTACACAAACAAATAATGGGCGTAATTTTCAAAATGCAAAATTCTTAGTTATTGACTTGCTCCTTACCGACAGAAGAAATCTTTTAGTACACAGCCAAAATTGGCCTCGAGAAATGCCACTATCAAAGCCACTGAATACGTTACTTTCGGTTTTTCTTTCCGTATTTTGGTTTTCTTCTCCTTCTAGAAAAGTTTGAACGTCCGACAAACGACTTTGGATTGAGAGTGGTGAAGGCTTTGCCGTTCATTCATCAACCTGACCGAGTGGCGCGAAAGGCGAGTGGCGTTTAGCAGCTGATTGGCGATAACAAACGCGTGGAAAAAATACGATATTTTTTCACGTGTGTTGTTATGGCTTTTCTCAGGGTTAGAAATCCTTGTATAACACCATAGTTTATAATGGTAACAGGACCGAGTTTAGTCCAATTCGGCCTATAATAATAGGAGTGAATAACAAAATCGGACGACTGCGAAGCGGGATTGTTAATCACGAGTGTAATTACAAATAGAATTGGACGACAGAAAGTCCTACCAACAGGAACCATTTCAATCTCCAAAAAACAAATACACTTAGTACAAATATGTCCGGCGGAGACAATGTCATGAGTCAATAATTCCTCTATTTTGGAAAATCCCCGGTTTGTTTTTGGATACGTGGTTGTTGCTATGGTTATTGTGATCAATTCTGCGACTGGTGGATTTAGCTGAGTGGACTTACTATGATTGGCTGCTTCAATTGTCCGACTACAGGTGTCCAATTTCAGCCAACTGTCCGATTACACTGCGTGATTACAACTGTGCAGACTGTACAGAGTAATGAGTGAAAAATGAATCTGCGAATGCACCAATAACATTTGAAGAATTTTTAATGGTTATGATTAATATAAAACACGTTAACTCTTAGGTATCAGGACAGCCTCTTGACTCGTTGTAACGTAAACACCTGTGCAGAAGTCTATGCTCACCCGACGAAACACATCGGCACATTTTGATATAATCATTTTCGCAAGTTTGCTTCGCTGCTATTGATTTTAGTTCTTGAGCGTGGGACGCGGGAAATCGGGAATGACGAAGTCGCGACACTTGCAGTTGGTTTCAGGTTTGCGTCTGATTGGTCGAGGGGGTGGCAAAAACTTCCATGACCAATCACAAGTCCCATCCCTACCACGAAATCACAGGCTTTAAACTCAAAAATAGCAGTGGAATACGAAAAACCGTCAGCCAGCAAACAAGGATTCTCAGTCACGAGTTCAAGTCGGTTGCACGTCTTTTTAATAGACACAAAAACTACAATCATAAAGTTGATGACTGATTAAGCTCGAACAGTGCAGTGAGAATAAACTTGAGTTTGAATACACGCGGCCAGAAACTCTAGAGAGACTATGTTTTTTATTCATGAGGAATCGAATCATTGAGATGAGTCTTCAATTATCTTCAGAGTTCTTCTTTTTTCTTTTGCAGAAAACAAAGGTCAAGACGAAGCCGTCTCTTTGGGGACGGAATCGTTGGACCCGGGGTAGGCAGGCGACGCTTTCTTCACTTCCGATTGAGTTGTAGCGGTAGTTTTCGCTGATGAAGCCACCTGAGCCACTGGTACTGTTTTCGTGTCTTGCTGAGCAGGATTTCCGCCACAGCCTGGAATGACCGCGACATTTAAAGGCTGTGAATCACTCTTTTTCTCATTCGACACACTGAATACTGTTTTTGTCACCGCTCCAACCTTATTACTGACTGATACCCCTTGCACTGATGGCCCTACTTTGCCAGTAGATACTGCCGTGGAAGAAACAGCAAAAGAAGGGGCTGCCATGGAAGTCACTTGTGAACCAACTACAGGGTAACTTATCGGTTTACTGGTCACAATGGCTGTTCCAGACTGTACATAAGTAACTGGTGACCCGGAAGAGACGACTCTAGAGATCTGGGTAGCTGCTGATCTCGCCACTGTCACCGCACCTGGGAGGTTTGGTACCACTGAAGCTTGGGGGTTGGTAGTCTTGCTAGGTACTGTTCTCTGCACAGACACCACCTGGCTGGGAACGGTCCTAACTGGCTGACTAAGGAGGGTAGGTGCTCGCGTGTTTTGGACAAGAGTAACTCTTCCACCGGCTTGAGAAACTGAGCTGCTACTATTCAGTTTTCCGGCTAAAGCAGCGAGACTAACGGGCAGCGAGGTGGCAACCGTTCCTGGTGCCCCTGGCCCTTTTTGATTGATCACTGTCTGGGTACTACTAGCAGGTGATCGCACGGGATGCCCAAACATAACTTGGGTCTGGCCAGTCAGGGTGTTAGTTCCACTGCCCACAGGTTGTAGCGCTGTACCACTGACTATCTTGTACGATCCTTTAAGACCTTGGGACATAACAAGCTTATTTCCATCCTTGGTCAAAACACTGATAGTTGATGGTTGAGAGGCGTCACCTACTCGGGTGAAAGAAGGCCTTCCAGAGGTCAGGACACCTGACGATGGGGAGAACTTCCCAAGCGAGGAAACAGCAGATAAAGATGTATTTGACGTCGATACAGCCCCAGATGGAAAAGAAGGAGCTTGCGTTGTTACAGTGGCCCCTTTGAGACTCACAACAGAAGTAAACGAAGAACTCGATGATTGAGAAAGAGGTGTTTGCCTGACTGGCGCTGACACAATGGTCCTTACAGGCAACTGAGAAGCAGTGGGTACCACACCACCCTGAGCAGACAGAGCAGCACCAACAGAGCTGAGGTTCACAGGTGTCTGTCGCTGACTTTGAGGCTTAATGATATACTGCACGGTCTGCCCTGTTGCAGCATTTGACGACAAGACCGAGGGAGAGCTTCCTCGCGGTAGAGTAATGAATGTCTGTGTGACCCTTACACCAGGATCTGAGCTCTTCGGTGTCAAAGAAATGAAGGCTTGCCCTCTGTTGGCAGTGGCTAGTGCACCTGCAGACGTGCTTGACAAGGGCACCTGGCGAGCAACAGCTGTTCCATGTAATGGAAACCCAGTAAGGGAACCAGGGTGCACGGGAATAGCTTGAGGAACACTGGTAACTACCGATGTAGATGCAGCTCCAGTCACGTGAATTACACTTGGAGGCGGATTGGTTGGTTTCGATTTGGACTTGGAAGTCCTCGGTCGTTTGGCTGGGCTGGGCTGGCTAAGCGAGCGAACGCTGCTAATGGCCCCCAATGTACTGCCTAACGGTAGCTTGAGTAACGTTTTTCCTTGTTCTTGAACAGAAGACTTATGGGGGGTTGACTTCTTTGCCGATGCTTGTGACGTCAGTGCTTGCTTACCCGCCGAGCGTTCCAATTCCGACGACAGATCTCGTGATACCGATCGTTTCCTTTTCTTTTTCCGAACATCGATTTCGTCCATGTCCGAAGAGTCATTTCTGTTATGTGAACTACTGCTGCTCATAGACGTCAAAACTATTCCTAAGAAGTCGCCGATTTCATCCTAGAAAGGAACCGAATTTCCCGATGAAATGAGATTAATGATATTAAATTGTTGATGAGTAATTTACTGGACATTTTAACTTCTATGTGAAATTGGATTTGCAAATAAAACTCGAAAAATGTAAACAAGCATCCACCCTTACACTCCTCGATCAATATAGCAGCTGGACTTATGAACGAGATTAAATTGAAATGACACATACCATTATCAATCTGTCCACCATGCTCTGAGTAAGACCCTCTTGTTTCTTCTTCGCGCGAGTTAGACGCAACTAGAACAAAAATAAGATGGCATCACGAAAACTGCAATTTAGTCTTTTGGGAACATATGGATTAACTCCGATTTTCCTAGAAAATTTTGCGATTTAAAACTCTCCGGGACGTGAGTTCCAGTATTCTGGAACATATTCGAGTAACTTTTTTTTTTTTTCAGCCAGACAATGATGTTAGAATCAATTCAAAATTACTTATTTTCTGTCTCTGATCACAATTCAAAGTCACCAGTGCAATATGGTCTGACAGCCTCCTCCCCCCCTTCTGACGTAAACCCCGATACCCTCGACTAACCGTAGAAGACTAACTAACCTGTTCATCTGCTCCTCCCACTACCAAAAGGCTTGTGTCTGTTTTCATTTTCTCGCGCATTTCCTAAAATAACAACAAAAATAAACAAAAAGAACATATGTGTTGAAACGAACTGTTCAAAAGCATATGACTGCCATTTCATACACTGTGTGCTTAACTCCTCATGTCCTGGGTACCGTATTGCTTTCAGACATGAAATAGAATCCCTATCTTTTTAAACAATTGAATATCGTCATTCTTCTTAGTTAGATTAAATACAAAGCAATGTGACATGCAAAGCATAGTATGTTGATTATATCAGTGATATTTTTCGTGATTGCTAATGTGGATTACGGCTTTGTTGGTCAATAGGTGCAAATGCTAGATCTACATGTACGCCCTTTCACCCAATGTCAAGGAGAGAAATCTTGTATACCATAAAATGTAAGTACGTTTTTCAGTTATCTGAATTGTTCCTATTTAATCAGACAGGAAAAAAAAGATGAAACATACCTCCACTTCTTCTTGTGACGTGAGAGTCGAATGCGATCCAATAATAAACAAAGTGGGTGTTTTCAACTCCAGTAAAGGATCTTCCACTCCCTGAAACAAACACATCACTGAGTAGTTATCCTCACGGTACAAGTCCAAAGAAAGAGCTTCACACATTGAGCAGAGATAATTATCTTGTTGAAATGATTGAAAAAAATTAACAAAATTGAACTCCAAAAATACATTGCTGTGGTTATCAGTCTGAAAGCCGCAGCAAAGTGAGACAGACAGGTGGTTTTCAAAGCTGAGAAATGAAGTTCACAGATCTGTTGTGTCACTATTTAACTTTACTTAAGGCTCTAACTACCAAGATCTGATTGTCAATTCTTCCCTTCAGCTGCTTTACCTTTCTTAGTAAATTAGTTATGAAAATTTGGTGTTAGATCAAGACACAACTTCTACATGTAGCTGATAAGTTTGAGTATTCTTAATACCTGTTTGTAAAATAATGTATGAATTTATGTGTTAATCACATCTGGACTTAAGATAATTTTTAAAAAGATTGTGTTCAAGGTTTGATTCAATCACAGGTATAACTTGTTTACTCACCACTCTTACACCTGATAAACCAGTGATTGGGAAACCAAGACAAACAACTGCACACACAGATTCCATAAGGGCAACCTAAAGTACAACCATGTTATAATTATTATATCATCAAGTGTTAAAGGCTGAATATGATTGAATGGTCATATTACATTTCAGACACTAAACATAACCAAAGTACATGAATGACCTCCCTTAAATAGATCTAAATAATTTGATCTAAATAATTAGGCATTTATTTAAAAATGAAAAATGGCTACACGGGTGAATATGGCCTTTCTTCTCTTTTCTTTCCCTAGACATTTATTACCTGTAGTAATGTTGAATTTTCTGATTAAAAAACTGTCATTTTTAAGTGATCAAAAAAGCACTATCCTAACTACAGTATAAAGGTATACCTACTAACAATAATCATCACATGTAGACTAAAGAAGACAAATATTGTGATGCCTTGGCTAGGCACACTATTACTAGTTGAGCTATTATTTGTGTTCTGATTAGTAATCCCTATTCCCTACCTGGCACGAGACCAAGGCGCCAACAGACCAGCCCAACAGAATGACAGGACGGTTAGGAAAATGACTTCTTAACTGGAGGATAAAAGTACATTATAACCAAAATCAGATTTACCTGAGGTGTGTTACAAATCGGCAAAGATTTACCATCCATTGTCTACCCAGACAGCAAATTTATGATTTCCTCAATATCAGAAGAAATACCATGGCCAACAAACATGAACATTACATCAAGACATTGTACACAATCTTACAGTATACACGATAGGCCACTAAGCTTGTGAGCAGGCCCTCAATATTACATCTTCAGCACAAGTGTTTCTTTGCCCTTGTAGGTGAACATGATGGCTTGAGCAATGTGCACGAGCAAGAGGGTTTGTAAGGAGTCTCATCAGACCCTTCAAACAGTTCAAGAAAACATTGGTTCTGATAGATCTCTAAAAGCGTGGGTCACTTTAATAGCTATTGGATCTTCACATTCCAACCAACACCATCAGCAATGAAAAACCAACCAATGCATACCATCCAATTAAAGATTTTTCATACCTCCAAAACTTTCATTCTAACAGCACCGATAATGTGATCCAAACACTGGCTGATTGACACCCCACTTCCCCCATTGCTTGTGTGCATGGTAACAGGAACAACTTTTCCAAGGACAGACAAGTGGTTGTGCCAGAAGCGAGCCCGCTTGGATGAAGTTCCAGAACAGATGCTTGTTGTTGGGCCACTGGGCACAACCAAGAGTAAAGGAGTTCCAGGTAGTTTACGCTTTGAAGAGAGGGACAAAAATACACTGTGACTCAGGAAACAAAGTTTCTCAAAATGAAATTTGTACATTATGAATATGCAGTGTTATTCTCTCATGTTAAAAGATATTATCTCCACAAATGTACTTAAAATGATCTTTATATAATAAAAATGCAAACAACATCTTTGCATCTGTCCTCCAATAGATCATAAGCAAAAACCTATCAAAATGTGTTTCAACTGACAACTAAAATTTTAGAATTTTCCTTTTTTTCCAAGAGTCACTAGTGCAACAAGGCAATTTTTTTTCTAATTTTTAGGCTCTCAACCCACAAGCATCTGTTTAATTTTCTCTTAATGAATGTGTTCTGATTTTAAATTGCCATCAGAAGAGCTGTGATACCTGTTTATGTTGAGTAACAAGTCCATGGGCAGGGTCCCAAGGTCTTTTCAGAAGCAAGTTTAAAGCATCTGGGCTGGCTGCCAAGCCACGGCGCTGACTGGAAGGTTGAACAAGCATTCGATCGACAAGTGTTGGAACCTTCAGGGAATACAAT